TTCAGTTGTTTTTTTTAAAATAAAATACAACTTTCAGCTTATCTAGAGGGCATAACAACTTTCAAAGGACTTTCCCCCACAAAACCAAAGCACATAGTTGTGCTGGATAGCTTCAGTGTCAACTTGACACACTTGGATTGAGGGAGCCTCAATCGAGGAATTGTCTCTATTGGACTGGCCTGTGGCCATGTCTGAAGGGCATCTTCTTGATGAGTGATGTGGGAGAGCCCAGCACACTGTGGGTGGTGCCACCCCTGGGCAGGTGGGCCTGTGTTGCATAAGAAAGCAGGCTGAGCAGGGGCCAGGGGAGCAAGCCAGTAAGCAGGGTTCCTCCATGGCCTGTGCTCCAGCTCCTGCCTCCAGGTTCCTGCCCTGAGTTCCTACCTTGGGCTCCCTGATGAACTGCAACCTGGGAGATGTAAGACAAATAAACCCTTTCCTCCCCAAGTTGGTATTGGTCAGAGTATTTTGTCACAGCAATGAAAAACAAACTAGAACAATAGTTTACAGTACCATATTGATTTTTCTTACATTAAAATCAATATATTTCAGGGGTAACACACCTGCATTTATTTATTGATCAGCATATCAAGGATGGTATCAGAGAGGAATGAACACTATTTGATGTTTTTTTAAATTTTTATTTACTGAGACAGTCTGAGAGGGTGGGTTCTGACCTTCATTGGTACAGGGGCTCTGATCTCAGCAGACCTCCAGAGAGAGCCTATTTCTGGCCTCCCTCTGACAGGGGTTGAGAACACAGGGGACTGCCTGAGAGCCCCCAATTCTGCTTCCATGTGGTGGTTTTTTTTTTTTTAATTATTTAATAACCACATGATTAGAAGCATTTCATTACAGCATTAACATATTCAATAACAATTTCCAGAGCAAAGATGCTTCTCTTTCAAAATTAGCTGTAAATTTTGAGGTTCACAGTTAAATAATACAGTTATACAATATTGAACTCAGTATAACCCTTATAAGACATAAAATTGAATGAGGTTTTAACTTTTTTTTTTTAAATTACAACATAGAATAAGTAGATTTAATAAATGTTTATAGCATATTTCATCCAACAGCTGTGGAATATACATTCTTTTCAGCAGTCCAGGTAACTTTTTCTAAAATAAATCACATTTTTTTTATTCTTATTCTTTTATGAAGTTAGTTAAAAATTAATGAACAAGAAATTAAAGAGACTGCGCTGCAATTAAGTTAGAATATTCTAACTGGAAAACAATTACTGTGAAACTATTTACATTCTCATAGAATTATAAACATTTCTCAAGGAATACTTTACAGCACAACTTTTTTTTTTTCATACAGAAGAATTCATTCCAAAGCAATTGACATTGAGACGTTTTCACATGCATTTCTAATCTCTATATAAATGACTATTGCTGGTCGTAGTCGCCCACCTTCTGAGCTCCTCGGCATCTGAGCCAAGTCACTAAACATCATCACAATTGTGCTTGTTGACAGTTGTGCTCATTCATTAAAGGAAGGCCAAGCAGGGTCAAAGGACCCTCACTGCATTACCCAGCCACTCTTCCCAGCCAACTCTATGTAATTTGACCCTAATCACACATGGCCTCCTGATTTGGGGAGGGCTAAAGTATACAATCTGGGGAAGGCTAGGAAGAGAAGGCATGATCCATACTGGATAAAGGTTTTCCAGTGTGCATACCCTCAGGTCATACCTACACCTCAGCAATCCCTCAGTTATCTTGGTAAATAAGCTCAATAAATTCATTGGTTCCCCAGTAAAACTTTAATCAAACATTGGCTCAACACTTAAACCTTGAAAGGGAATAAGCATTGCTTAGCATCCCCAGGAAAAGAAGTCTCGTAACAGTAGGAAAATTTATTTGTTAATGCTATTATGTCTCATAATTATTTTTTTAAAAAATGAATATACAAGATGTCAAAAGGATATGGGAATGGAGATATTTTCCAAAATAGAAAAAATGAGAAAGCCTAAGCAAGTGATAAAGGTTTGGTTTGTTATGATATATAAAGGATGAGACAAAAATAATACACCCATAATCTTAAAATGTCTATGGTCATAGTTTAGTCAACTAATTTACAGAACAAAATATATATATATCTAGTCAAAGTTTATCTAAGAATATTTGGTTTTTTTAACCAAACCTTAGCTACATAGCATATGATAATTAAAAGTACCAGTTCCACCAAGGTGGAACTAACCTTACTGGATATTTAACAGCCATAGTTTAAGGTCTATACTAATGTGGTCAGAGGGACCTAAAGGACAGTTTTTGCCCCTTGCCCTCCAAGGTTGACTAAGTTCCAGGGTACTATGGAACATCTCTCAAAATGTCCTGTAAATGTGGTGAGTCGCCTGTCCTCTTGTTCAGGGAGGACATGGAGACCCCACAAGATGGAGGGTCAACTCAGAGGAAACATCTCATTCATGCTTCCAAGTGAAGCCAGACATGTTGAACAGGACCTTTGACTTATCTTCACATAGATGGAACTGGTAAAAGAAAGGAGCCAGGAGCTCCTCCCAAGCCCATGTGTCCCTAAGGAACATATCCTCAAATGACCTTACGTGTAAAAATAAACTGATTTATTGGGGCCAACTGTATGGTCTTAAACACCCAAAAGGAAAGTATAACCAAAGAGTAAAGTCATCAGCATATTTCTTTACGAGTTCAAAGGATTACACTTCCCAGACATTAGGCTTAAGTCTAAAAAAAGTTACTTAGACAATTATTTTTCGTTGATGATTTTGTTCCTAACCAGAAAGTGCTGCTCCAGATGTAAGACTTCAAATCTTGGTTTGCAATACTGTAGTGCCCACCTGTAGCTAAGGGAGACAACCACTACTGTTCTAAAATGATGGATAAATTTGTTTTCTCCCCCTATCTAGAAGCCTTTGAGAGGGAACTGACACTGATTCTAACCACTCCAGCTATCAAAATACCTGAAAGCAAATCCTGATTCCATCACTCAAGTCCAGCCTTGGAAGACAAAAGAAAAATGAGGAGAAACCCAATAGAGGAATGCTTTTGGAAGCCCTTGTCAAGAAATTCCAGCCGGGCATGGTGGTGCATGCTTTTTATCCCAGCACTTGGGAGGCAGAGGCAGGTGAATCTCTTTGAGTTCGAGGCCAGCTTGGTCTACATAGCGAATTCCAGGTCAGCTGGGGCTACAGGGAGACCCTGTCTCAAAAAGACCCCCCCCAAAAAAATTCCAATGGACTCTCATACGAACATTTGAAAATTGCCCTGTATTGACTTTTTTTTTAGTTCCCTGTCTAGAACTTGTAGGGCTAATTACTCTTGCCTTTACTTCTCCTTCACATCTCCTATTCACAATTCAAGGGCTTTCTTTTTCCCCTAGAGATAAGAGTTATGCAATCTGGGAGTCTTTTGGATAGATCCACTGAAGGGATACTCCAATTGCCTCACCCTGTGTCCCTGTTCAGCATGGAAGAAGACAGAGCCATCTGTGTCCCTATTCCCTTTTGGCAATTTGGGTAACTTTTTCAGAGGATGGTGTGATAAGAATAGGAGGTAGGAATTGGCTAGGTAGTTATGGTAAAAAGACCCCAAAGAAAAGTAGCCAGTTTCTTGGCTAAAACTCATAATGTCCTTGGGCCTCTTAGCAACCTACTCGGTTCCAAAGGCCAAAAAATGTTGAAAATATTTGGGAGCTTTTACCTAATCCTTAAAAGATTTTAGGGTTACCTCTTCAGAAGGTGGAATGTGAAGAGTAGCCAAAAGCCCCATTTAAAAAAAAAAATCAAGTAAGAAAGAGTATATGAAGTTATCACAAAAAAGTGATGGGGAGATATGGGAGGAGTTGGAGGAGAGGGAGTGGGCGAGGATTTAATCAAAACACCTTATATTCATGTATGAAATTCTCAATAAATCATTTTAAAAGAAGAAAATTTTACTTATTTTATGTGTATGAGTGTATTGCCTGCATGTGTTTAAGTTCACCCTTGTGCAATGTCCACCGAGGTCAGAAGAGGGGGTAAGGATCCCACGGGAATTGGAGTTATGGGCGGTGGTTATCTGCCACGTGGGTGCTGGGAATTGAACCCGGGTTGTCTTCCAGAGCAGCCAGTTCTTTTAACTGATGGACCATCTCTCCAGTCCCTTTGATAACAGTTTTACAAAGGAAGAAAAACAGTGACTGAGTAACACACCTGTAATCCCAGCACTTGGGAGGCAGAGGCAGGAAATTGCCTTGAGTTTGGGGCCACACTTGGCTATATAGTGAGTTCAAGGCCAGACAGGGGTTATAGCAAGATCCTGTCCCTCCGAAATAAAACCAGTGCTGCACACCTGTAATCCCAGCACGTGGGCGGCTGAGGATCCGGAGTTCAAGTCCAACCAGGGCTGAGACCCTGTTTAACAAAAACAAACCACCTCAATATTGACCAGCACTTTCCTATTTTTATTCCCACTCAAATCACATAAACGAACCAACACTGGCGGCCACTCTAAAGCTCATCTCTGCTGACAAGCAATCACCGTGAGTGAAAACAAAAAGGACAACAACAAAAAAACAACTTGGAAAACAGTAAACATCAGAGTTCAGAAATATCAAAGAACGTGAGTCAGGGAAGACTGGTGGAGTCAATTACGAAACGTCCAGCTAGACAAGATGTACTGGGTACTTCTGGAGCACGATTTCGCAGCGGTCCCCTTCGAAATGGCACGGTCCGGACAGCACCTAACTCAAGTTTCGGAGCGCCCAGAGAGACAGCCGCGACGCGCTCCTGCCCAGCTCGCGAGCCCAGCAAGGCAGCTCGAGGTCCGCACTCACCTGGGCTGGGCTGGGCAGGGGCCGAGGCCTCCGGGGCCAGCGTCCTTCCTCGGCCGCAGAGGCGCGGTCCGAAAGCCCCGGGGCCGACTCCGCAGAGACCTGATCCCCGCCTCCGGAGAAACACCCGGCCCAGCCCGCGGCGTCGCCGGACTTCTCGGCCGGCCTAATGCGAGCAGGAGGCGCGACGCCGGGAAACTCACCTTAGGGCGCGGCCTCACGGCCTAGTCCTCAGTTCCCTCGGGGCCGGTAGGCACCGCCACAGCTGGCGGGAGCCGCAGTCCAAGAGCACTGGACCCCAGAGACCCTTTTGGGTTCAGCCGCGGTGTACGCAGACCTGGCCCGCCTCCCTCGGGGTCCGGGCGCGCGACGGGGGCGGCTCCGCACAGCTCCGGGGAGCGCGCCGAGCTAGGGCGCGGGAGCGCGCCTGGAACCACCCGCACTGCACTGAAGAGCGCGCCGGGCTGGGGGGCGGGAGCGCGCCTGGGATGATTCCGCGCGGTTCCGAGGAGCGCTCCGAGCTGAGAATGAAGCGCGCAGGGGCCGGGCTTCCTCCGGCAGGTCTCCTCAGGACCTGGCGCACCGCGCTGTAATGGCGGCGGTCACTTGGCCTCTGGAGCCGTAACTCGTAGCCTTTTTACACCGCGCGGAAAATGTCAGAAGTCAGGTGGGCGTTCACCTGAAAACCCAGTGTCTGCCTATTTCCCTCTATACCTCTTCTTCAGGGTCTGAATCGTTGGAGAGGTTTCGTTGCTTTCTGTCAATGAACTTCACCGTCCTCTGAAGAATGACAGTTAAGGAAACCCAGCCCTTTGCATTCCCGAAAGGACTCTACAAGGACTACCCTTCCCTGTAGGATTTAGACCGGACTCCCGGAAGTCCCCAGGTTCACCCAAGGCAAGGTCTGCCAAACACTCTCCAATCCGCCCCCCCCCCCCCCCCCCCCCCCCCCCCCCCCGCCCCAGTGGTCAAAGTACCAGCTTGACTAAATTTAAACATCTCGTCTCTGGGTTCCTAAACTTCCACCCACCCTCAGCCTCAACCAGGAAGCAACTCCTGCCTATTTACCACTCCAGAAAGAACGTTGACTTCAGGGCAAACAAAACTAATATCCTGTCTGGTTCACTGTCTCCTCTACTGTTGGTTAGTCCCTCTTTCCTACACCCAAGCCTTTCTAGCTTTATTTCTCCCTTATACAAGAAAAGCTCTTGCCTACCTAAATCTAGATCTAGATGAGATTTCCCCAAATGCAATTCCTCAATGCAAAAGTCTCCTCTGCTTCTAGAGTAGCATTTTCTACTGATATTTAAATCTAGAATTGATATTGGAGATGAAACCATGTACTTGCTGAACACTGTCTCTGCCACTGAACTACACTCCCAAACTATCTTAGATGTATTTTATTTTTATTTATATGTATGAGTGTTTTGCCTGCATGTATGTAAATGCACCATGTGCATGCAATGCCCATGGAAGTCAGAAGAGGGTGTCATATCCCCTGGAACAGTTGTTAGTCGCCATGTGGATGCTGGAAACCGAACCTGGGTCCTTTGAAAGGGCTCTTAACCACTGAGCCATCTATCCAGCTGCTTAGATTTATTATTTATCTGACATTCGAACATTCTCCTTAAGGCAATAGTATTTTTTCTTGCAATGGGTCCTCCCTCCCCCACCCACTACCATAATGTTTTTACATATAATCTCTATTTCCCTAAATCAGGATTTATTTTTTATTTGATAGCTGTTATTGCCTGGAGTCAATCTGAGATTGGGCCTCGCCTACAGACCTTTCCTACCCAGGTAAAGACAACTTGGGAATCTTTTGAACTCCTGTTCAGTAGCTCCAGGATCCAGTATTCAAAACAGTATTCATAGCAGGGTGTGGTGGCACTTGCCTTTAATCCCAGCACTTGGGAGGCAGAGGCAGGTGAATCTCTGTAAGATCAAGGCTGGTCTACATAATGAATTCCAGGCCAGCTGAGACTATAGGGAGACCCTGGCTTTAAAAAAAAAAAAAATCCCCCAAAAAACAAAAGAAAAAAGAAAAATCCCGGACAGCTGTTAAGAGCACTGGTGCTGAAGTCTGGGCTTAGTGGCACACGCCTTTAATCCCAGTACTCTGGAGGCAGAGGCAGGCGCATCTTTGTGAGTTTGGGGCCTGCCAGGTGTCTACATAATGAGTTCCAGGACAGCTAGGGCTCCAAGGAGACCCTGTCTCAAAAAGACAAAAAATAAAAAAGAAAGAAAGAAAAAGAAAGAAAGAAAGAAAGAAAGAAAGAAAGAAAGAAAGAAAGAAAGAAAGAAAGAAAGAAAGAAAGAAAGAAAGAAAGAAAGAAAGAAAGAAAGAAAGAAAGAAAGAAAGAAAGAAAGAAAGAAAGAAAGAAAGAAAGAAAGAAAGAAAGAAAGAAAGAAAGAAAGAAAGAAAGAAAGAAAGAAAGAAAGAAAGAAAGAAAGAAAGAAAGAAAGAAAGAAAGAAAGAAAGAAAGAAAGAAAGAAAGAAAGAAAGAAAGAAAGAAAGAAAGAAAGAAAGAAAGAAAGAAAGAAAGAAAGAAAGAAAGAAAGAACGAACTTAGGCCAAAGAAATGGCTCCACAGTTAAGAGCCCTTGTTGACCTTCAAGATGAGTCAAGCTTGGTTCCTAGCACCCATATCAAATGGCTCACAAACACCTATCATTTTAGCTCTAGGGGATCCCATGCCCTCTTCTGGCCTACAAGGCACCCATATACATGTGGCATATACTCACATAAACATATACATACACATAAATAAAAATAAAAGTTTAAAAATCAAAAAATAAGCAGAAGAACAAACTGAGATACCAAGTGTTGACACCTTGTCCAAGGTCAAGTCCAGTCAGGGGTACAGAGATGTGTCAAGTTTCCTTCCAAAATCCTCCTTTCTATTCAGGTGTCATTCTGCCTTTTAAGGGAAAGGAAGACAGAGGAGTTGCTGTTCACCACTTGTCATTCCTCCAAATTTAGGCATGAAAATTGATTCCAAACAGGAGAAAGAAAGAATGCTCTCCTCATTTGTGGTCCTCTTCTCTGGATGCTCCTATGTCTGGAAGGAGCCAGCCAGCATGGAACAGAAAAGCATCAGACACTGAGATCTCAGAAAAAGCATTTCATAGTTGAAGGATGGTTTCCTTGGGATACCCTCTCAGATGGCTGCTTATGAGATACTTGACTATCTGTGAAAGGAAAATGTGTCCTTCTTACAGATCACGTTGCCACAGATCTCAATGCAAAGCTGTGGTGGAAATTCCCAAGACCCCAGTAGGGGCCTCCCTCACAAAGTGCCTTCATCTCTCAAGACTCACTTTCCTCATATGTACAACACCAGTCATTGAGACACTTGGAGCCTTGGTGCTGTGGGCTAGCGCTTCTTTGTAATTTAACATCTTTTCTACTTCCCCCCAAGGACAAGGCGTGACAAAAACCCCAGCATGTGTGCTGAGTGGGTAGTTAAAGAGGAGTCAGCAACCACGCAGCGAAAGAAGAGATAATTTTGCTACAAACATAGATGAAATAATTACTATAATTGAGCAATAAATAGCATTGCAATTTATCTAGGGCTTCAATTAATTAGTCTTTGGTGTGTGTTGTCAGTTTGCTGCAGTTCCAGTTTTGTATATCACGATAAAGAGGGTACAGGGACCTGGCCTTGAACTAAAACACAAGACAAATGGGCAGGACCATCCCTGACTGACAGTCACTACATCTCTGGTCACATTCCATGTGTGAACTGAGTTCAAACATTTGCAAAGTTCAAAGTGAAAACCAACATGCATCCCATAACTCTGAAATCATTGCCCTATGTGGGGGGAGGGGGAGAGCTCTTCTTATAGGATCCTGTGGTCTGCACTTCCTTCATCCATAGGTAACCCTGTGCCTCTCCTTTCTACCTTGGTTCATGCTTATGTCCACTGCCTCTCCCACTGGACATGAGTCCGGGGGCCGTGACTACTGGCTCATTTTTTGACTGATTTAAAAATCAATGGTGTCTGAATGAATGAATAATGGACAGAATTATATGATATAGCCAACTGAAGCATATTTTACATTTTCCTGATTCATACATTGCTTTATTTCACAGACAATGATATATCCTTACTATGAGTCCAGATCTAGGCTAGGCACAGGGTAGCTCCCCATTTAGGAAGACAGGAAGCTATCCCTGGGTATGTACAGGTACAGTAGCAGAGTGGCCTTTGTCCTAGTCAGTGCGCTTGACATTTGGGAAAGGGTAATTCATGGTTGTAATAGCTTTCCTGGGCATAGTGACTTGTTTAATAGCAACCCAACCTCACTAAATTCTTGGAGCACCCCATCTCCCAGTGGAGACTTTCAAATAATAATGAATTCCAGGCCAGCTGAGACTATAGGGAGACCCTGGCTTTAAAAAAAAAAAAAAATCCCCCAAAAAACAAAAGAAAAAAGAAAAATCCCGGACAGCTGTTAAGAGCCCTGGTGCTGAAGTCTGGGCTTAGTGGCACACGCCTTCAGCTGTTAAGAGCACTGGTGCTGAAGTCTGGGCTTAGTGGCACACGCCTTTAATCCCAGTACTCTGGAGGCAGAGGCAGGCGCATCTTTGTGAGTTGGAGGCCAGCCTGGTCTAAATAGCCAGTTCCAGGCCAGCTGGAGTTACAGGGAGACCCTGTCTCAAAAAAAAAAAAAGTAACTTAAAGACTAATGGGATCAATCCTTAACTCCAGATCCAGGGGATCTAACACCCTCTTCTGGCCTCCATGGGCATTTCATGCACAGGGCAAACTTACATACATGCAGGCAAAACATTCATATACACAAAAATTTTTTTAAATACATAAGATTAATTTTCCTAATATACTAACACAGACATATATACATAAATAAAAATAAATATTTTTAAAAATTTAAAAAAGCACTCTTGGTAGTATGATTTGGTATAAATTTTTAAAATATATGCTCTATCCATTAAACTTTTGGAAAGTTAATGTATTAGTCAGGATTCTCTAAAGAAACAGAACCGGTAGAATACTTTTTACATATATAGGAATTTATCAGATTAGCCCACAGGATAGAGTGAGTAGTCCAACAATGGCTGCACCACACTGGAGAGGCTGAGAATCCAGTAGTCACTCACTCCATGAGGCTGGATGTCTCAGTAGTCCCAATCTGAAGGTCTGATGAATTCCAAAAGATCAGCTAGTCCAGTCTATAGCAGCAAAACGAACTCACCAGCAAGAGAGAAGTCAAGTGACAAAAAGTAAGTGCTCTCCTCTGTTGTGGCCTTTTATACAGGCTGTCATCAGAAGGTAACACCCACATTTAGAGTGTGTCTTCCAGCTTCAGATGATCCAATCAAGAAGATCTCTCTCATTTCAGTTAATCACAGATCCAGTCAAGTTGACAC